CTGAAACTTGTCCACCACGGGTGACCCTGCTGGTATTTGAAATAGCGGAGGTATAGCTTCCAGCATCACAGCATCATGCAAGCCACCACAGCATAACAAACTGACAAAAGAGTGGTGGAAACAGGTTGCATATAACCAAAAAACTAAACCCACTGCCGTCGAGTCAATTCCGACTCACAGTGACCCTACAGGACAGAGAAGAACTGCCCCATAGGGTTTTTAAGGCTATAATCTTTACGGAAGCAGACTGCCGTAGCTTTATCCTGTGGAGCTGATGGTGGGTTTGAACTGCTGACCTTTCAGTTAGGAGCTGAGTGCTTAATCACTGCACCACCAAGGCTCCTAGGTTACATATAGTCAGTTACAAGTTAAATTCCACGACAGGTTATTGTAAACAGTAGACTAATATGTATACAACTACTCACTAAGGGAAAAATAAACATTAAAAGCCACAATTAAACGTTAAATCAATAATAAACATTAAAACTACAATTAAAACATTTCTAGTCATGATAAAGTAAAGACTAGCCCTCCAACATTAAACAACTATAAAAACTGTCAAAATTAATGAAGTAACTGTTTTCAAAAGTTGGACAACAGGCAGCTAGGACTGTAACCCCTTGAGAAGAGACATGAGCCCCATAACAGACATGGGTTTCAACTTGAAGGTATTTTCCAGACCACAACACATGAAGCAGTGTTGCTGAGCCTAGGAGGTAGACACTGACTCGAGTTTGGGACTGCTGAGATGGCTGAAACTTGGCAGGTTATGGAGAGAAGGGAGTCCCACAGAGAAGGAGCTCCAGAAATATACAAAGGGTCCCCTTAAGTCTTTGACTGAAAATGAACTGGCACACACAGAGGACAAGACTCCACAAGGTCTTGTAGAGAACAGGTATTGGGAGCTATGAATTCAATGGAGATTCTGGAGGTCACCCAACACAGGGAGACATGTGAAGAAGCAATGGAACAGAACAGAAATGGATTTCATTCAGCAGGAATGAGGACTCTAGGATTTTGTGGAGCAGTGTGACATATTCCAATCAAGGTGTTAGAAGGATAACTCTGGAGTGGTGTGGAGGCTGGTTTAGAGTGGGAGAAGATTAGACGTAGGGAAGGCTATCACAATTATCCAAAAAGATGAGGGTTTACAGTACGATAGCTGAATGAAGGAAATATTTAAGTGGGAGGACTGTGAATTCTCAGTGACCAATTGGATGTACACGTGATGGAGAGAGAAAAATTAAGGATAACTCTGAAGGGACCAGTACTTGTTGAATTTAAAATGTTTAAGAGAGAGGTACACTGACAGTGAACTGCCAGAAATTCAAGCTGGACTCAGCCCTCCAATGGCTTCTCATCAACCCAGAATAAAAGCTACAAGGTCATAACAGATCTTTCTTCTGCCTCCCTCTGCAACCATATCCACCTCTCTTCCTCTCACTCAAGCCACAGAGAACACCCTAGCAAAAAATAGCCACAACCACCCTGACTGTCACTATCCATTTACTCGCCTCATATGCTTGCAAAAGCTGGACAATGAAAAAGTAAGATAGAAGACCAGATACATTCAAACTGTGGTGTTGATGAAGAATACTGAATATACCATGGACTGCCAGAAGAACAAACAAATCAGTCTCTGAAGAAATACAGCGAGAATACTCCCCAGATGCGAGGATGGTGAGACTTTAGCTTGCTTACATTGGACATGTCATTAGGAAAGACCAATCGCAAGAAAAGGACATCATGTTTGGTAGAGGGTCATTGAAAATGAGGGAAATCCTCAATCAGATGGATCAATAAAATAGTCACAACAGACTCAAACATACCAACGACCATGAAGATGGCACAGGACCGGGCAACGTTTCATTCTGTTATCCATAAGGTAGCCATCAGTTGGAGCTAGCTCGATGGCAACTAATAACAATAACGTGTATGTATAGGTATTTTATCTGCTTATTGTCTTTCCCACTAGAATTTAAATTCCATGACAGCAAGAACTTTATCTGGCTTGTTCACCACTGCATTCCAGCACCTAGGACAGTGCTTAATACACAATAGGGCTCAAGAAAGACTCTGGAATAAAACCCTTAATCACTCTGAGCCTCTTGGTTCTATCATGTGTAAAATGGGGAAAACAATCCCCATCTGCTCTGCCCATTCTTGATGCAATGAAACGAAATGATGTATGTTAAAGTACTTTGTAAACTCTATTATCACTATATAGTAGGAGACAGTGGTGATGAAAGATGTTTCTTGACATGGTAGAAGAAAGTTATGGTACCAATATGTATATAAATATGTGAATTTTTAATTACTTCCTGGAGAATAAATTTTTAACTCATATTTGCTGATTCCATTTTTCTTTTTTAAGATAATAAAGGTTTTTTTTTTGTACTTTAGGTGAAGGTTTACAGAGCAAAATTAGTTTCTCATTAAACAATTAGTACATATATTGTTTTGTGACATTGGATGCCAACCCTGGACGTGTCAACACTCTCCCCTTCTTGATGTTGGGTTCCCCATTTCCATTCATCCAGCTTTCCTGTCCTTGCCTGCCTTCTTGTCCTTGTCCCTGGGTTGGTGTGCCCATCTAGTCTTGTATATATGGTTGAACTATGTGTATTACTGTTTGTTTTATGAGCCTGTCTAATCTTTGGCTGAAGGGTGAACCTCAGGAGTGACTTCAGTACTGAGTTAAAAGGGTGTCTGGGGGCTATACTCTCAGGGTTTCTCCAGTCTCTGTCAGATAAGTAAGTCTGGTCTTTTTTTGTGAGTTTGAATTTTGCTCTATATTTTTCTCCAGCTCTGTCTGGGACCCTCTATTGTGATCCCTGTCACACCAGTTGGTGGTGGTAGCTGGGCACCATCTAGTTGTGCTGGGTTCGGTCTTGTGGAGGCTGTGGTAGTTGGGGGCCATTAGACCTTTGGACTAATCTTTCCCTTGTGTCTTTGGTTTTCTTCATTTTCCCTTGCTCCAGATGGGGTGGGATCAGTACACATATCTTAGATGGCCGCTCACAAGCTTTTAAGACCCCAGATGCAACTCATTCAAGTAGGATGTATATTTTTTTTAAAAACTATGTTATACCAATTGAGCTAGATGTTCTCCGAGACCATGGTCCCCAGCCGTCAGCCCAGTAACTCGGTCCCTCAGGGAGTTCGGATGTGTCTATGAAGCTTCTATGACTTTGCCTTGGTCAAGTTGTGCTGACTTTCCCAGTATTGTGTACTGTCTTACCCCTCACCAAAGTTACCATTTATCTATTGTCTAGTTAGTGTTTTTCCCCTCCCCACCTTTCCCCTTCCTAGTAACCATCAAAGATCATTTGTTCTTGTGTGTAAACTTTTTTCGTGGGTTTTTTATAATAGTGCTCTCATACAGTATTTGTCCTTTTCTGACTGACTTCCTTCACTCAGCATAATGCCCTCCAGATTCATCTATGTTCTGAGATATTTCGCAGATTCATCATTGTTCATTGTGTAGTATCCCACTGTGTGTAAGTACCATAGTTTATCCATTCATCTGCTGATGGGCACTTACGTTGTTCCCACCTTTTTGCTATTGTGTCCATTAGTCTTTATAATAAAAAATGCCCTCTGGAAAGAAATACTTAATCTAAGTACACAATCTCCAAATAACTAAAGAACTCCACCCAGGATTAGACTCTTCAGGAAACAAAAAAAGACTGAAGATTGGGTTATCTGACTTCTAATAAACCACAGAAGCAATTAAATTTCTGGAAAAAAATTTTAAGAAGAAAATATTTAAACGAACATCACTTCTAGAACCCAAGAGAAAAAGTCTTTGGAAAAGGGTTTCATAAAAATGAGGTAAGCAAACCATAATAGTCATTATACATACTTTATTTTACTAGCATAGAAGCTAGGCAGTTACATTTAGTCTCTGAATCTAGGTCCATCGTGGATTCTAATTCCAATTTTTTTTAAAATAAATAAAACACGGTTTAAAATGTCAACTGCATCAAAGTTACTGACACAACCCACCTCAACTTCTCAGGATAATATCCATGAAAATATAAAATAAATATGCATAACTGAAAATCAGCCTATTTCAAGACTCTGGGAAAATTTTCCACTAAATCCAGTGCTACCAGCCTTATAATGAAGAGGTATACTGTAGTTTAGAATGTGTACCTTCTAAAAGTAAAACACTGAAGGAAGAAGGAGAAATGGAAGATCCTTATTAATTCTTGATTTTCCTTATGAATTTGGACCCCAGGTTCTGAAATAGAGATGAATTACATGCCAATACATGACTTCTGTCACTCAAACATAAAGCTCAGATCTTCTCTCAGCTGTATTATTTCTACTCTTGTTACTTTCTAATCACTAACCACTTAACACTGTATCTTTAAATTTATATTCATAAATTTGCTATAAAGTGGGTAGAGTTGAAAGTCAAACATATGGGAAGAGAAAGCTAAAATTATTCTCATGGGGAAATCAACATAAATGATCAATTATATACATTATTATTTGAAAGTAGTGACTCTTAACTTTTGTGTGGGGGGTGTAAGTATCCAGTTAAGACTCTAAAGAAGCCTATGGACCCTGTCCCAGGAAAAAATGCATACAGACACGTATATCCAGCTGGTATGTTTTCAGGAGGTTCATGGGCCACTGAAGTCCACCCATGGACACTGCATCTTGAAGGCTGAAACTCTGTGCGGCCAAAGACTGGGTTGCAAAATTCTAATAAATGCTAAATACCAATAAATATTATCCAGACTCCAAGGAATATGTGATTGGGATCTATCTGTGAGTCATGAATCCGACATGCCTTAAATTCCGTCATTAGCTCTTTCTATAACATAGCTTTAGATCTCCAGTTCTTAAAACAATGACAGCTGCCTCTTGTTTTTTGAATGAGCCCCGAAGACTATCAATCTAATGCTGATTGAGAAAACAATAAAAAGCATAAGTGAAAAGTCAGTTTAAAAACCAGTAAATATGACAAAGGATGGAATTTGACTCACAAAATCTGTTTCAAGTTTTCCCATTTCTTGCTTATAGCTTCTCATTCTGTTGCTATACATTCCTCGACTTTGGGGTGGTATATCTCGGACTTCCAAGTCCATCTGTTCCAGCTAAAAAGGGGGAGAGAAAAACATGATTTGAAACATATGCTTATTCTTTACTTGACCAGACATTTAAAGTTGAAAGGATATAATTCCAACTCCTCATTTTACAGCTGAGGAGCCAGGCCCAGGGAGCAAAATGTCCATGGTCAAACAGCATCGGAACTATTTTTGTGGATGATTTTTATCTAGTTCAAAAGTTAATGAGAACTTGCAGAATGACACAGAGAGTGCCAAAGTCTTTACTTTGGCAAGAATTTCTTTAAAAAAATATGTCTTATATGTAACAACACAAGAAGCTGGACTATTTGAAGAAGAATGCAGCATCAGGATTGGAGGAAGACTCATCAACAATCTGTGATATGCAGATGACACAACCTTGCTTGCTGAAAGTGAAGATGACTTGAAGTACTTACTGATGAAGATCAAAGACTATAGCCTTCCATATGGATTACAGCTCAACATAAAGAAACAAAAATCCTCACAACTGGACCAATAAGCAACATCATGATAAATGGAGAAAACACTGAAGTTGTCAAGGATTTCATTTCACTTGCATCAACAATTAATGTCCAGGGAAGCAGCAGTCAGGAAGTCAAACAACACATTGCATGGAGCAAATCTGCTGCAAAAGACCTCTTTAAAATCTTAAAAACCAAAGATGTCACTTTTATGACTAAGATGCAGCTGCCCCAAGCCATGGTATTTTCAACTGCCTAATATGCATGTGAAAGCTAGACAATGAAAAAAGAAGACTGAGGAAGAATTGATGCATTTGAATTATGGTGTTGGTGAAGAATATTGAATATACCATGGACTGCCAAAAGAAGAAACAATTCTGTCTTGGAGGAAGTACAACCAGAATGTTCCTTAGAAGTGAGCATGGCAAGACTTCTCGCTTACTTCGGACATGTTATCAGGAGGAGCCAATCCCTGGAGAAGAACATCAGGCTTGGTAAAGTGGAGGGTCAGCAAAAAAAAGAGGAACAACACCCTCAATGACATAGACTGACACAGTGGCTGCAACAATGGGCTCAAACACAGCAACAATTGTGAGGATGGCATAGGACCAGGCAACTTTTCGTTTTGTTATACACAGGGTCGCTATGAGTCGGAGCCAACTCCATGGCACCTAACAACAACATTAATGCAAGCATCCTCAATAATTTGATTTTAATATCCTTAGAATAATACATCATTCAGTCTAAACTATGTATTTCTGGTCTGGACTTCTGAACAGGAACCACCAGAACTATGGGAAGATAATACAACCAAACCATTATTTCCCACTGTTGATCCAGGAAATGTCAGCTCAGCCTGAATGATTTGGTAAAATCTCTCTTGAAAAGTCTTTTCTGATTAGGAATATCATATATATATGATCAACGTGTGATCTCAGCCTCTAGTCTAATTCCTTATACTTTACAACCATGCTGATAGGGAGTTAAATGATACACTGATAGCGTGTTAAATTACACAAAGCTGGTGAAATCCCAGCAGGGCCTTTGGTAATGATCTGTCATTCTATAACACTTTGGATACAGCACATAATAGTTTAATGGGAGGCAATACAGAATTAGCATAATGGTTAAGAGCATAGGCTTTGGAGTCAGACTCCTGTGTCCACAATGTAGGCTCCACTACTCATTAATCATGTAATCCTGGACAAGTTTCTTAACTTCTCTGTGCCTCATTTTTCTTGTTTCTAAAAACAGCATCTCTTTCCTGGGGTGACTGTGATGATTAAATGAGATAATTCCCATAATATGCTTAGAATAGTTTCTCTTACACCTAAACACTAGATTAATGTTAACTATAGTAGTGATGATTACTGATGATGATGATGATGATGATGCATTTAAAAATAAATAACAACAAATTGGTCCAGGCCAAGTGTGATAAATTCACACACAAAAATGTTGCTACACATTTTACATTTTAAAGCATTCTAAAAGTTATTTCCATGAACAGTATAAGCTAATCAATAAAACTCTTACTTATCCAGAGTTAGAGCCTGAATAATAATAGTAAGACACATATAAACCAGACAACTATGCTTCAATTAACAAGCATCAATTTTTATTTTTATTTTTTAAAAAGGGCAATTTAAAGTAGCCTTGATTTAAGCAGTGGTTCATTTAAATTATTAACATGTCTGAACATAAATGTGAAACACCACTAAATTAAGCAGTTACTTAGCAAGGCAATTATTTAAAGCACTTCTCTGAAATCCTCATCAAGTACTTAGTTCTAGCCAAGGTGAACAGGATAATTCAGATAAATAATTGCAAATGTGCATGTAAGTGAAAACCCGAGAGTGAAACACATTTTTATTTAAGGTGTTTTACAAGGATACTTAAAACTAAATTAAAAGTAGGTAAGAAAGAAACCAGCAACCAGTACTTAAAATGAAACCAGGAATAAGGCTAATATACACTTGTCCTATGTTGTCACACCACTCACACAGCCAATGTAAAGTAATAATTATAAGACATGTAGTGTCCAAGAGATTAACACAAAGCAGTTTGTTCAGCAAAAACATAACTAATCCTAACACTCAAATCAAAAAGATGTTTTTCTCCCAGAGTCTCCATCAAAAGGAGAGTACGTAATATAATGAACAGTGTTCTTAATGATGTCATCAGAATTAAGTAAATCAGCTTTCTGATCATTTTAAACAAACAGAAGCACATACCTTGGGTAGAAGTCTTTATATCATAATAACTAAAGATGACTACAAAGATGAATATAACTATACTTTATACTTCTTGGTACTGTAAAACCTTGGTTACAGGAGACCAGCTTTTCAATACCATCAAGTAAACAGAGTGTCTTCAGAAAGCCAGCAAATACACCAAAGCACAGATTTTGAAAGCAAAAAGCTGCTACTGAGAACTCAGCAACAATATCAGAAGTCAAGGAGAGATCCAAATAATTTCTTTAGGGTGTTTTAGTATTGAGGGTAAGGCTGCCAACCTGATGAGCATTTATTAGAATTTTGTAACCCATGTGAAAGGTCAGTCTTTTTACATGAAGGCAAAGAAATATGACAGAAGCAGTTGAATATAACAAAAAAGAAAGCAAGGAGAAAAGCATCTGAAAGAAAAGGAAACTTTCAAAAGAGAAGCAAACATTAGGAGCAGTGAAGATGAGAAGCCAAAGCCACCACTGTAGAGACGGTGACAGCAGCCAGCGGACATGAGCAGTGGCGATGGGCACGGAGTGCAGCAGACATTCTGACAACTGAGAAAAGAAACAGTGACAGGGACAGAGGAAACAGCAAGGATGCAACTCAAGGCCCTAGCCCTCGAAGGCACAGAGAAAAAGTCTACAATGAAGAACAACTGCCACCTATTCCTTAGCCAATCTGCTGCCATCGAGTCGATTCGGGCTCACAGTGACCCGACAGGACAGAGAAGAACTGCCCCATAGGGCTTCCAAGGCTGTAATCTTTATGGAAGCAGACTGCCACATCTTTCTCCAGCAGTGTGGCTGGTGGATTTGAACTGCTAACCTTTTGGTTAGCAGGCAAGCACTTTAACTACTGTGCTACCAGGGCTCCTTATCTATTCCTCAAAGCCCCCCAAAGCAGCAGTTCCCCACGTATGGTCCTGTTACGAAATGTTAGCCAAATAAGCTTGGGAAATGCTCCATGCTTTGGCCACCTTCTATAGTTCCTTCTTAGAGACTCATTATGCCCTGTAGCTTACTTAAGGGTCCAAGGGGATTCTGTAGAAAAACAACCAAAAAACACCCCAAAACCCAACTCAGCTTAAGTTACAGTTTCCCAGACTTACTTGAACAGGTCACACCTATTAACAGAAACACACTTTGGGAAACTGTCCTAATTACTTGTTGTTGTTAGGTGCAGTCGAGTCCATTTTGACTCACAGTGACCCCATGGGACAGAGTAGAACTGCCCCATAGGATTTCCTTGGCTATAATCTTTATGGAAGCAGATTGCCAGGCCTTTCTCCCATGGAGTTGCTGGACGGGTTTGAACTGTCAACCTTTCAGTTAGTGATAGAGTGCTTAACTGTTTGCTCCACCAGGGCTCCTCAGTATATCAGTAAGTAGTGCTAAAGGAATACCAAGCAGCGGCCGTCAGTATTTAGCAAAGCAACATATTCATTTAAGACCATAATGCAGTAATAAATTGGATCATACTTCCAGTAACTTTGTTTTTAAAATAATAAAAAAAATTGGGACACAATGCTTTTTAATACTTTTTCCTCGATTTGTGAATTTACTGATATGAGAAAGTAGACCTAGAGGTCTAGGTTTGGCATATCTAGGTATAAATCCTTACTCCACCACTTACTGGGCATAGAACCTCAGACAAGTTAATCTTTCTAAGCCTCAGTGTCCCCATCTACCAAATGAGGATACTACCAGTATTGGGAACCACTCCTCCATGGGCCTCTCATGCTTCTACACATCTTGCTGTTTGTGTCAGGAATGTAAAGCCCTGATCGATCTTCACCCAGGCCATTTCTCTGGGTTGTGCTTGCAGGGAGCAATCTCAAGGGACGAAATAATGTCTCCCTCTGGGACAATGAGTAGGCTTGCTCACAGGCTCGGTGTTCCTTTACTGTAATGCATTCCACCGTGTGTTCAGGCAGGCACATCTAGGCCCACCTGCATCGTCCCTGTGGGAATTGGAGTTTAGGGAACTGATGTGACCATGCTGACACTCTAGATACTGCTTTTACTGTAACAAAATTGTTCATCTCTGACCCAGGAGTCTCATGTCTTCTGTCAGTTTGCCATAAAACATGGCAAGCTACCTTATTAGCTTGCAAATAGGATAAAATCTCAGGTTCTTCATAGCTATTGACAAATAGTACTTGTCTCACAGGGTTTTTGGAAAAATTAAATATTATAAACCAGGTACCGAGTACGCATTTAACAAGCATCAATTATTTATAGCTATTATGAAAAGTATTAAAAAGAAATAAAAATTGGCAGTAGAAGTTCAATGAATCACCTTTGTTAAAGAGTAAAATCCCTAGAAGCTATTAAATTTTCCTCAATTTAAAAACTGATGAATTCTGAATCATAAAATGTTAATCAGTAATATTTTACATTTCTACACTGTATAAAACAGGCTAGAGGAAAGCCTCTGAGTTTGAATAACTCTGGTTGAGTGTTAAAATATATAACTAAGCCTGTACATACCAATTCTTTTGCTTCTTCAAGCTGTTTCTCCACATTTGCAACCATCTGTTTCTTTTCATCTGAAATAAACAACAATATCAAGGAATTGCTAAGAATGTGAATAAAATTAATATTTAAATACTTTCCTTTTTAAGCATATACATTTTTTCCTTTCTGGTCAATCAGATTAGAGAATTACCATACTAGGCAAATATCATTCTCTGGTGAGTTAGGAACCACTTTAAGCCACTGATTCTTGGCTATCTGGTAATACATAACTCTACAGAGAACCTAAATTATTAAGAGATGCTATAGCATTTTAAAGAGAAACCAAACATTATTTTGTTCTTTAAAAGAGACTATGTCAAAATAGTGGTGGCCTGAGGAACTTGCAAAGTCCTAACTTTAATAAATTGGGAATAATTGATTTAAGAATATAATTTAAAAGTCACATACTGTCTTGGTTATCTAGTGCTGCTATGACAGAAATATCATGAGTGGATGGCTTCAACAAAGGGACGTTTATGCTCTCAGAGTCCAGTAGGCTAGAAGTTCGAATTCAGGGTGCCGGCTCCAGGGGATGGCTTTCTCTCTCTGTTAGCTCTAGAGGAAGGTCCTTGTCATCAGTCTTTCCTTGGTCTGGGAGCATCTCAGTGCAGGAACCTTAGGTCCAAAGAATGCACTCTGCTCCCAGCACTGCTTTCTTGGTGGTATGAGGTCCCCGTGTCTCCTTGCTTGCTTCTCTCTTTTATATCTCAAAAGAGATTGGCATAAGACACTATCTAATCTTGTAGATTTCATCAATATAACTGCTGCTAATCCATATTATTACATCATAGTGATAGAATTTACAACACATAGGGAAATCACCTCAGATTACAAAATAGTAGACAATATAATACTGGGAATCATGACCTAGCCAAGTTGACAGATATTTTTGGAGAACACAATTCAATCCATGACACATACAAAAAACCACGTCCTAAAACTAGGCATGATCTTTTAATTCCCAAAGCCACTACCTACTCACTGGTTATGAGATCCTGGGCAAGAAAGAACTTTTTTTGAGACTTAGTCTCTATTCTCCAAAATGGACATAAAACAATCTATTGGATTATTTTTAGCTCAAATAAACTGATACAAGTGAAATTATTTTTAAATTGTAAAGTGCTAAGTATACGTATGGCTTCTTCAAACTTGATCACAATTAAGTTATAACCCCTATTGTGATTCTCCTGTCTAGAAGACATGTCCTCACAGATATTTTTAGAAAACTTTCCCTGAAAGATTAGTCCAAAGGGCTAATGGACTACAACTACCACAGCTTCCACCAGACTGAGTCCAGTACAATTAGATAGTGCCCGGCTTCCACCACCGACTGCTCTGACGGGATCACAATAGAGGGTCCTGGACAGAGCTGGACAAAAATGTAGAACAAAATTCAAACTCACAAAAAAAGACCAGACTTACTGGTCTGACAGAGACTGGAGAAACCCTGAGAGTATGGCCCCAGGACACACTTTTAACTCAGTACTGAGGTCACTCCTGAGGTTCACCCTTCAGCCAAAGATTAGACAGGTCCATAAAACAAACAATAATACACATAGCTCATCTGTGTATACAAGATTAAATGGGCACACTAGCCTAGGGGCAAAGATGAGAAGGCAGGAGGGGACAGGAAAGGTGGATGAATGGAAATGGGGAACCCAAGGTCGAGAAGGGGAGAGTGTTGACACGTCGTGGGTTGGCAAGCAAGGTCACAAAACAATATGTGTATTAGTTGTTTAATGAGAAACTAATTTGCTCTGTAAACCTTCATCTAAAGCACAATAAAGAAATAAAAACTTCCCCTGAATTCCATTCCAAATCAATCAGTCCATCTGTTCACAGATCCGACCTAAGTTTTGTGCTAACCAAACTTACTGAATGTTAGTAGTTTTTCTGCCTAGCATCCTTTTCTTCTCAGGCAATAGCCCCCACTCTTTTAAGGAACCATTTCCCTCATTCACCAAGCAGCTCAATGGAAGGTGTTATCCCCTTAGATGACCGTTGCCTGTCTGGTCAGTGGCTTGGCAGAGGATAGGCATCTCATTCTAGCTAAGCCAATCCTAGTAGCTCAATCTCTCTGGCCACATTGGTCTGGAAGGTAAGGTTGGTGTTATGGATTGAATTGTGTCCCCCAAAAATGTGTGTCAACTTTGTTAGGCCATGATTCCCAATATTGTGTGATTGTCCACCATTTTGTCATCTGATATGATTTTCCTATGTGTTGTTAAGTCCTATCTCATGATGTTGATGAGACAGGATTAGCAGCAGTTATGTTAACGACGCAAGACTCAATCTACAAGATAAGATTTTGTGTAAAGTCAATCTCTTTTGAGATATAAAAGAGAGAGGCAAGCAGTGAGACGAGGGACTTCAGACCAGCAAGAAAGCAATCCCAGGATTAGAGCGTGTCCTTTGGACCTGGGGTTCCTGCGCTGAGAAACTCTTTGACCAGGAGAAGATTGATGACAAGGACCTTCCTCCAGAGCCAACAGAGACAGAAAGCCTTCCCCTGGAGCTGACACCCTGATTTTGCACTTGTAGCCTACTACACCGTGAGAGAATAAACTTGTCTTTGTTAAAGCCATCCACTTGTGGTATTTCTATTACAGCAGCACTAGATAACTAAGACAATGGGCATATGACTCAAGCCGACTAATCAAAGCTCTGAAGCAAGAGGAAAGTCTTTTCCTCTCTCCTGATAGAGTTATGAGAACATGAGCCTAGAAGCTGTTGGCATCCATTGTTCAAGTTCCAAGGAGAAAGCCAGTTTGTAGTGCTTGAGAATGAATCCTGCATTTAGAAAGGAACAAGCTGAGGAAGTGAGAGAGAGTGTGTGTTTCTCGTTCCAGATGACTTGGAAACAGATTTTGCTTGACTTTATCATGATTTGGTTTCTTGAGCTAATAAATTTCTTTTTCTTTATGTAGTTTGTTTGGTTAATGTCGTATTGGTCCTAATGAACACTGACTAATACAACAGACTAGAAAAGCCATGAAGCTTGAAATGGGTACAACACCTACTACCAAACTGGCCCCTACCAGCTGACTAGCCCCTTAGAAAGATGATCAACACTAAGTGTGGAATCTTCAGCAGAAATTATTATTTTAGTAAAATTAGGTTTTGCTAACCCCATCCTCTTCCCTTTGTTCTTCCCAAACTAGGGCGGGTTGGGGCAGCAGGGAGTAGCTGTCACATAAGGTGTTTTGGGTGTTCTGTAAATATTTTGCCCTAAAAAAAACAGTACACATTTGAAATTAGAATTCAGCTTGATTTTCCATTCTTGAAAAGGTTAAATCTATATATAGCAAGATTAAAAAATCTAATAAATGACCCCAAATTTATTTGTTTCTGGCACATTTCAATCCTTCTAACATCTCCACATAGTTATAGCAGAGCATAGTTCTGTATTTTTGTGATAGAGCAGAATACAAAATAAGACAAGCCCATCTTGGACCAAGAGTGAGACTATGTATTTTTCATATCAGAAGGAACATCTTGTTTTCTTTAAAGTACTCAGTAGTTAAGAAAGTCCATGCCATGGAATCCCAGGACTAATATGTACCAAATTCTGTCATTAACAAAACAAACCAAAAAACCCTCACATGTTCTGTATTCCCCTTTGCTACTAATCTCTCTGTTCTTCCATCCCCTCACCAACTCCCCATAATCTAGCTCCTGCTTCCACCATTCCACTGAAATTACTCTCATTAATATTAATGACCTTTCCTTTGCCAAAATTAACGGACACTCTTTGCTCCTATTTTTATATAATCTTGTGGCATTTGACACTCTGTTCCTCCCATCCTGTAACTTTCTCCTCTCCTGGTAAGTAGTTCCCCAATGGAAATTTGAAGTGCTACTGCCAGAAGACAGGATGGAAAATGCTGGACAGTCAGAAGCAACAGATGTCCACTGCACTCAAATTATCACAACCTCTTATAATACAGTCTTTCCCCATTTCTATCTGTCCAAACCCACCAGTCCTTCTAGGGACATGATCTTATCTCCTCTGAATTCCTAGAGCTCTTTGCTCTGCTCTAGTGATCCTAGAGGTAATGAAATTAGTTTCCTTTTATGCCTCATCTTTAGCTTCTTGAGGGCAGGAATGACTTCTCATTCTTTTTTTAGGGATCACTCTTGACATATCTTTGTCCCACCTCGATCCTTAGCACAGAGAATTGCACATGGTATGTGCTTGATTAAGTACTTACTGAACAAATGAATCGGTCTTCACATTTGGCAACATATTGGCTACTCACAGAGTAATTGAGAAAAGGAAAAAAGTGCATCAACAAGGATTGGGAAAAATCTTGCCATATGAAATGGCAAGTTTCCCTTTATGAAAGAAGTCGTTAAACTTGCGTAGGGGTGGAAGGTGCAATACAAGTATGTAATTTTCTCATAAAATCTATTTCATGATGGTACTGTCACAAATAATTATGGAGCTGAGCCAATCTTTGGCCTTCAACAGTGTTCTTCATATTCTTAAGAAGAATTTAAAAAGTGACAGTTTAGGGGGAAAGCATGAGGAGGGAAGGAAGGGCTGAATTAGATGACCTTGGAAGTACCTACCAACACTAAGTTCTGGCAATCTTCTGTCAGTAAGGCAATTCCCAAGAGAACTTCTCTTTGCCCATCCCACATGGCATCCCCTTTACAAAGGATTTAGAACTTCATAACTAACAGCTACCATTATTGTGCAAGGTGCTATGAGTTTAACATATCTATCAGTCAATCCACAAAATAACCTTGTGGAGGTAATATTATTATCCCATCTTCACTCAAGTAAACAAACTCCGAGAGATAATTTTCCCAAAGTTAAACAGCTAATAAATGGCAGAGTTTATGCCATGGTCTGTTTCCAAAGCTGAGCTCTTAACTATTATACATAGTATATGAATAAACTCCCCCACTTTTTTTTCTTTACATACAGGTTTGATGAGTACTGACAGAGACATAAGTATTTTCATAGTATAATAATTTCTTGCCTACTCAATATTAAGTGCTTAATACTGATATACACATAAGTCTT